ATGGACCATGCCGGGTCGGGTCAAGTCTTACCAATTATAGTTATGGACTTAGACATTAATCCAACACCTACATGGACTCAAATCCTTCATCTCATTTCAACTCGGGCTTGAGACTTTGATGGTTTTTCGTATTACTGCTAGCGGATACCTTTCATATTCGTAAAGTCTTTCCAAGCAATCGATTCACTACATCTTCTAATGATTTGTAGGACTTTGGGGGTTGACTTTTGTTTGATAATCTGATCTAAGGTTCATCAATGGTGGTGGTGATGGTTTATGGATGGTTAAGATGAGAAAGACGAAATATATTTTCTAGAAAATTAAAGAGAGAGAGAGAGAGAGAGAAAGGGTGATTTCATTTTCTAAAAAATATAATTAAAAAATAATAGTGAATAAATTATAACAAATAAAAAATAAATAAATAATATATTATTAAGGGCAATATAGTTATTTTCATGTTAGAAGGGATGAAACATGCAAATTTTAAACAAATGACGGACGATTTGAGTTAATTTTCGAAAATAAGGATTGGACGTACGTTTTGACACATACACAATGAATGATTCTTGTAATTTACTCCAAATTATAACACCTCGTTTACACGTGATGATGAAATACAAATACCAACAATCATGTGAATCAGTAACTTCCAGTTGATTTATAAGGAAGTTTGTTAGTTTGAACTCGAAGCTTGTTGTTTCGTGCATTATGCTTCTTCAGGATAATTAAGAGATGTGAAGACTTAAGACACCTAATTAAAAACTTCCATTTAATATTTATGTTATTGTAGTCTAATAATACTTAGGCATACATAAAAGTATTATTTCTATTTTTATACTTTAAGTCACAAAAAAAAAGTCAAGATATGCGTAAGAGTGTTACTCAGTCGACTAACATGTGTTATTACACAGTGGTATGTTCTCAATTAAATATTTGAAACATTTTCCAATAATGATTATTTTGCAAATATATGATATTGACATAAGTTCATCAATTTATCATTATTATCGTATTAACATAAACATTATATATTGATTACTAGTTATTCCTAAATTACACATGATATTTGATGTTTTGAACGTTACTGTTCACATTTATTTACATTATATTGCTTTTTTTGTTCTTATTAATTTATATTAGAAAAAAAATCGTCCATGTGGTTTTCCAAAATCTGAAGTTTAGTCCCCGTGGTTTAAAAACGTCATAGATGGTCCCTGTGTTTTCAAAACTTTTGACGATTAGTCCTTATTGCTAACTCCGTTAAGTTATGTCCGTTAGCTAAATGGCATTTTCGTCATTTCACCACCATAGGGACCATTTATGATGTTTTCTTATATATTTTTTTTAAAAGAAAAAATTAAATATGGGAAAGCTCTCTCTCTCTCTCTCTCTCTCTCTAGAGATCTGAAAAAGCTTTAACAGGTTGTACGCTACAACCTAAACTTGTTCTTGCTTACAAAAAATTAGAAATTTGAGTTCTTGAGTTCAGATTTTGTATTTGTATGTGTTCATGTTCCATATTTTTGTATGTGTTATTGTAATTTTGTGTGTGTTCCAAATCCATTTCTTTGATGCTCCGATTTTCGAAAATTCGATCTGGAGATAAAACTACAACATGTATGTGTTCTTGTAATCTGAGAATCAAAAATCAATCAATACACTCCATCTCTCTCAGACATACAACATTAAGAACACAGTAGAATTGATGATTTCATGAACAAAAACATTTTTATGTGTGTGTTTTCTAACCCGATTCCAGCAACATAAAACATTTTTTAGAACTTAAGAACCCAAAAAATCTGCGGATCGATGAAAAAATTTGAAGCAGAAAACACTAACTGAAGAATGAAGACGAAAACCCTAATTGAAGACGAAGCCGTCATCGATATCTGAACATCTCCTTACGAAGAATCAAGAAGAATAACCGAATCGGAAGCAACAACAGGGGTAGATCGATGGTGGTTGAGGAATCACGATGAAGGGGAGCCCATTTTTCCAGCAATCCTCTTGGCCTCTTCGAACTCGTCTCCGGCAGCAATTGAACCGAAAAAGGAAGCAATAGCAACAGTCGACCAATGGAGAGCACCATCGATGCTAGATTTGACTGAAAAAAAAAAGAAGGACAACGAAAACGACAGTAGGTGGGCGTTTCGTGGGATTTCTCAGCAGCCGGAGGAGGGGTGGCTGGAATGGAGGCAACAACCCACTTCCTTCTGTTTCGTTTTTCCGGTGCGTCAAGGAAGAAAAAAGGAAGAGGGGAATCGGGAATAGAAACTACTAAGGGTGTTTGGGTGGTGCTTCGACAGGAGGAGGGTGAAAATTTGTGAAATCTTCGGTTCCTCATTCCCTTCCATCACCGGAGGTCAAAACGAGATTGAGAGAGAGAGAGAGAGAGAGAGAGAAAAGGGATTATATTTAATTTTTTCTTTTTTAAAAAAATATATAAGAAAACATCATAAATGGTCCCTGTGGTGGTGAAATGACGAAAATGCCCTTTAGCTAACGGACAGATTTTAACGGAGTTAGCAATAAGGACCAATCGTCAAAAGTTTTGAAAGCACAGGGACCATCTATGACGTTTTTAAATCACGGGGACTAAACTTCAGATTTTGGGAAACCACAGAGACCATTTATGATGTTTTTTCTTTATATTATATAAAGGGTATAAATGTAATTTTTGGGACAAAATTTGGCTACAAAGAGGGAAGAAGCATGCTTGTAAGCATAAGTCCTGGAAATAGGATTAACAAAAAGAAGCAGCCAACAATGGCTACTTTGATTGTTCATCAGCCTTACTTTCTCTAAGCATCCCTTTGTCAATTACAACAGACAATGAAGATAAAACATCATATATGGCTCTGAATCATCTCATCCATGGCAAATCTCCTCCACCACCGCCTCCAAAATCATCTCCGCCACCACCTTACATCCTTGAAACTCCACCAGCTATGCATGGCAAGTCTCCACCACCACCATATGTACATGGCAAGTCTCCACCTCCACCTCCAAAGGCTCCAGCAGCTCCAAAGGGTAAAAAGTCTCCACCGTCACCGCCACCTCCACCTAAATATACAATGCCACCTGTTAGTCCAGATTTCCTTCCACCACCACCAGGTTTACCTGCAGTTCCACCACCACCAGATTACCTTTGGTCATCATCTCGTAAGCAAGGGAGGAAGTAGTAATTTTGAATAAGAAGAGCTAAGATCATATATA